GTTTGACCTTTTGTTTTCTCTTTTCCTTTTGTTGTTTCCTTTGAGGACCACTTGTCCTCGCCATACTTTTTTTCTCTTCTAATATTTCTTCTTGTTGCTGATTAAAAAAAATAATGAAAACATTTACGTTGAGCCTAAGAAGCATGGACACGGACACGTGACACGACACGAGGATTGCGGCAGGGGGATCCATTGTCCCCTTTGTTGTTTATTCTTGTCATGGAGGCGTTGAGTCGGTTGTTGTCTCGGGCGGTGCAGGAGGGCTTGTTGGAGGGTTTTATGGTGGTAGATGGGGTTGGTGTTTCTCACCTGTTGTATGCTGATGATGCTTTGATTTTCTATGGGGCTGATCCAAAGCAGTTAGGGTATCTGCGATGTGTCTTGTTATGTTTTGAGGTGGTCTCAGGTCTGAAGGTCAATTTGGCGAAGTTAGAGTTGATTCCAGTAGGAGAGGTGGCTCAACTTCCGTCTTTAGCAGCAATTTTAGGCTGTAAGGTGTCTCATTTGCCGGTATCTTATTTGGGGTTGCGTTTAGGGGCTCCTTATAAGGCGAAGGGGGTGTGGGATGGGGTGTTGGAAAGGGTTCAGCGACGGCTTGCAGGGTGGAAGAGGCAATATCTATCGAAAGGGGGGAGGCTAACTTTGGTGAAGAGTGTGTTGGGTAGTATTCCGACTTATTTTATGTCTGTGCATGTTATTCTTGTGTCGGTGGCTCGTCGGCTAGAAAAGTTACAGCGTGATTTTTTGTGGAGCAGTGATGGTGGAGAGCTTCGGTATCATCTCATTAATTGGGAGCAGGTCTGTTGCTCTAAGATGGCTGGGGGGTTGGGGATGCGTAGGATGTGTAGGTTTAATTTGGCTTTGTTGGGAAAGTGGTTGTGGAGGTTTTCTCAGGAACGAGATCACTTGTGGCGCAGGGTGGTGGCTTCCAAGTATGGGTTGGGGAGAGGAGAATGGTGTACTAAGGTGGTAAGGGATTCTTTTGGTTATGGGTTGTGGAAGGCGATTTGGTTGGGCAGGGTCTAGTTCTGGGATCGTGTCCAGTTTCGGGTGGGCAATGGAGTAAGGGTGCGTTTTTGGAAAGATAAGTGGTGTGGGGAGGTTACCTTGCTAGAGCATTTTCCTTTGATCTATCGTTTGGTGGTGGATCCCGATGTGCTGGTGGCGTCTTGCTTGGCTGCAAAGGGTGCGGGTTTGGTTTGGGATATTGTTCTTCGTCATCATACGCAGGATTGAGAGGTTGGACAGTTTGTGGATTTGTTGGCCTTTCTATACAGGGTTCAGGTTAGGCAGAAAGGGGCGGATGTCTTGGTTTGGGGAGTTCTAGGGGCTAAAGGTGTTTTCTCAGTCTCATCTTTTTATTTGTCCTTTTGTGGTGGTGAAGGGGGGGTTTTCCCTTGGCGTTCTGTGTGGGTCCCTCGTCTTCCTTCGAAAGTGGCTTTCTTTGCGTGGACAACAGCTTTTGGTAGGATCTTGACTATTGACAATCTTATCCGTCAGCATCATATCTTGGTTAATTGGTGTTGTATGTGTTGTGCGGGTGCGGAGACAGTGGACCATTTGCTGATTCATTGTTTGTTTGCTTCTCGTTTGTGGGTGCTTATTTTCTCTTTGTTTGGAGTGGTGTGGGTTCAGCCGAAGCAAGTCAGGGAGGTTCTTTGTTGTTGGGGGGTTGGTCGAGTGGGGCAGCGGCGGCGGAAGGCTTGGGCTTTAGCTCCTTTGTGTTTGATGTGGTTGCTTTGGCTGGAGCGGAATCGTCGGATTTTTCAAGGAAGTGCTTTGTTCTTTTCCTGTTTCGAGACTCGGTTTTTGGGTGTTTTGTACAGCTACGTGGCGGGAAGGGTGAATCCAGATTTATTTGTTATCTTAGATTTTGTTGATGATTTAGTAGGTTAGGTTCCTATTTTAAGGGGTTCGTTTTGTATTTTTTTAGCATCTTCTTGATGCTGTGGTAATAAAATTTATTTATCAAAAAAATATTTCATATTTGTAAGATACATCTAAGTGTTGTGATGCATTTTCCTATGTAATTTAGAAAAGTTGATTGAAACTTTTCGATTCGTGATTCAATTCTATTCGCAATTTGGTACAAGGACCTTTTGATGGGAAATTTGATTCACAGTTCGGGATAAGGCCCTTTTTATGGGAAATTCTATTTGCAAACTACAATTTATCTCAGTATGCACCAGTGTTTTTAAAGGCTCAAGGCGTACTAAGGCGCTGAAGGTCTCTCGGGGCCTAGGCGCAAGGCGAGGCGCGGGCTTTATTGAAGCAAGGCGCACAATCTTAGTAAAAAATAGATAAATTAACATAGACTAATCATTCACAGTACTAAGACAACTTTTTTTTTAAAACAAAAGCAATCAAGACAAAGGGTGTGGAAAATAAATTGAAAATAATTTGTAATTTCAGTGTAGTGCAATGCGTGATTAATTAATTATTTGTAATTTTTTTTCCTAATAGAGAGGAAAAAAATTGACCACCAATGTAATATAATTTGTAATTTCAGTCTAATATAATTTGGAATTTCAGTGTAAAATAATTACAAATAATTTATATTTTACCAACAGTGTAAAATAATTTATAATTTCAGTGTAATATAATTTATTTTTATTTTACATACATATATTTGTGTTTTTTTATTAATATGTATAAATATATATTATATAAGATATAAGATAATATATGCTTATATATAAGATATAGGTAAAACAGAGGCTAGCTAAGATAGAGAGAAGCCGAGAGAGAGAAAGAGAGAAGAGAGAAGAGAGAGAGAGACCGCGAGCTCGTGAGAGGCGAAGGTGAGAGAGATAGAGAGAGCGATCGAAGTCGAAGGGAGGTCAAGTCGTCGAAGTTGAGAAGACAAAGTCGACAGTAGGTCGTCGAAATCGAGAAGAAGAAGTCGGCGAAGTCGAAGGGAGGTCGTCGAAGTTGTCGCTGACCAGGTTTGTTCTCCTTTACTCCTCTTTCCTTTGTTCTCCTTTACTCTTCTTCTCTTTCATGTACTCTTCTTGTTGCCGTGTTGTATTACATGAGTTGTAATCCTAGTTGGAGCCTCTCCTACACAGATCACAGCTGTTAGATCAGATTCAAGAAGGAAAAAAAAAAAGCCCCTTAGGCTCGCTCCTTGCGCCTTGTTGCGCCTGGTCCAAGTCAGGTCCAAGGCGTGCGACTCTTCAAACGCACCTCGCCTGGGTCCCCTTCAGGCGCAATGGGTGCGCCTCATTGCACCTAGGCGTGCTTTTCACAACACTGAGTGGTGCTGTGGTTTCTAGGGTTTTAGAGTGGCTCTGATACCATGTTTATTTTGAAAAGAGAAAAGTTAGAGGTATGAGTGGTATCTCATTCGCTTTTATGTTAAATTATTACCATAATTACAAGAGCACCCTAAGGCATAAATAAAGATACTAAGGCCAAGTTTGGGAAGACTAAAAAAGTGCACTTTTTGTCTTTTTGGACTAAAAAATTGAGGTTGAAAATATGGATGTTTGGGTTAACTTTTTGACTTTTTATTAAAAAATGTGTAATAAAAAATTGTAAAAATTGATTTGTAGGGAAAAATTTGAATTGGGAGTTGTGCAGCCGTAATTGTTGACTTTTGGTGAATAGTGTTAACTTTTTAACTTTTTGAATAACTTTTTGGCTTTTTTGGAAGTACCCAAACTTGGCCTTAGATATACATAAGAATGAAATAGGAAATATTTCTAACACATTCCAACATTTCAGTCATGACAATCAATCACACAAAATACTCAACAAAAGAGTATGAATGTAGTAGAATCCTTGCAAATAGGAATTGCCCACACCAATTAGCACTTGCAACAATGAGTATAGACATTGGAACTAGTTCAATCAACAAGAATCCATGACTATAGAGACATAAGTGGGGAGAACCTATGTCTAGCAAACAGATTTGGAGCCAAATTCAACCAAAAACACAAACTCACCAGCACAAATCAACACTTTAAGATCAAACAGTCCTTGCTAGATAATTTTTGGCCCCTATTCAATAAGTTTTAGTAGGTAGAAACTGGAAAATAAAACAGCCAAATATGTCCAGTACCAAATAGAGGCCATAATTGAATCAATCATCAACCCAACAGTAGTAAATCAACCAAATAATAGCAAATAGCACCGTGGGAGTGTATTTCGGCTCCTAGAGATAGGATTTCAGCAAGTAGATCCAACAAAAACCAATCCCAAATTCAGATTTGAAGATTGACACCAAAAAACACGAAAACATTCGAAAATAGAAAACTCACATCAGGGATGATTAAAAAATTTCACAAAAATCACCAAAAATCTGAGAAGGAAATTTCGAATCCAAGGGTGAATGACCTATCCGTACAGTGCTTACCTCATGTTGACGTCATCGTACGGCTGATGACATCAGTACGTCTCGGTTACCTCCAATCGATCTCCAGAGTCTGTAGAAACCTTTCTAATGAAGAATTGATTGTTTTGATACCAAGTTAGAATGTAAAATGAAGGAATTTAGGGTTGGGATTGAGGAAGAAAAATAAGAAGAAGAAGAGAGGAGAGAGAAATTATATATATGTATATATATTGAATAATCATTATCCCTCATACATCAGCAAAATATATATACAAACCCTAACAAAGCAATATGACCATCGTACCCTCATTAACAAGAGAACAAAAATAAGTATTCTAACAAATGACATTCAAAATTTTTTTCTTTAATCAAATAGTAGTCAGTGAGATTGCTCAAAGTTCCTATGAAAGTATATCCCCTCAAATACTGGAACCCCCGTTTTCCATTGCCATCTAAGCGGGGTGGCATGCTATAGCTGTGTTCCTGAGCAGCTGTCAGCATCATTGGCAAGTGATTATTGTAATTATTGATATATGCAGACATTCTGATACTTGACTGTTTTTCTCATTTTTGTTTTTTGGTAGTTCATGAAGTTATGAATTCAGCAACCTGTTTCTTATACTTAATATTATTGACATGGCACTGTGGAACACTTAAATTGCAGGATTAAATACGGAATGATAAACAATATTGGACTCATGTCCTTCTTGACAACACTTCTTTTATTTGTGGATTGGTGTGCATGGCGGATTGTCAGACTACCCTTGGAACCTTTTTATTTGACGCGGCCCTTTTGTATATCTGCAGTTGTAGTGTCTTGTGTAGGCTATGTCTGTGTCCCACTACTACGCATTTTGAAGATTCACTCAATCATTAGGAAAGAAGGGCCTGCTAGGCACTCTTCTAAGAAGGGCATCCCCACAATGGGCGGGTTGTTTTTTGTACCAATTGGTATAATTGTTGCAGAAGTACTAGTTGGTTTTTCTTCCATTGAGGTTTCTGGTGCAGCAGCAGCAACTCTAGCTTTTGCTGCAATTGGGCTACTTGATGATATCTTAAGCCTCATCAAGAATCATAATAATGGTTTGTCTGCTTGGATGAGGATTCTTTTGGAGGTAAAGCATTTTTTTTTGCTTTTAATAGTTTTTTTGTTTTTTTGTTTTTGCTTCCTTTTACACGATTTAGAGACGATGGTTGTCAATATCTTGAGTAATCTTAAGTTGTGCTGCTTTACAGGTAGCCGTTGGATCATTGTTTTCGTTTTGGTTGGATAACACAAAGATTTCATCACCCTACAGCATGTATACCCTCTTGTAACTAATCTGTTCCACATTTGTCTGATGGTAACTCACATATCTATTCTTGTACAAGTTTTAAAGAGAATGCCAGGGTTTAAAACTTAGAACTATACTAGTATTTGCAATTTCACTAATCTGTTAGAAGTTAGTTTGATGGTCGAGCACTTCTACATTATTTCTTCTTTTTAAACTAATAATAATAATTTGATGGTTGAGCATTCTACGTAATTATAATTTTAACCCCTAAAACCCAATTACAACTATTATATATTTGCAGTCAATAAGAAAAAGCGACAAGGAAAAGACAAGATTATGCAAACCTCTGATTCTTCCAAACAATAAGTACCGCTAAGGATGTTTTGTGGCTTCTGATATTCTTGAGTTCTGTTTTTTATTTTATGTTTATTATAATTAATTTTTTTTCCCTTTCCCATTTGGTAGTTTACTGTTCTGTGTTTGTGTGAGAGGTCTTGATTTTAACAGGCTAAAATGCCATTTTGTAGTATCTTAATTGACATATTTTACCTGTCATATCTCATAGTTCATTACCTGTTGGGTAATAACAGAGTCAGCTTGTCTCACAAATTAAGTGGTGAGTTACTTGACCTTATATTACATTTTCTCGGAAGTGCCTAAAGGTGCCACAACTCTTGTACATTCGAAGCATGCTGTTTGTAGGTATTAGGTATGTTAGGTGATTGGTCGTAGACTTCTGGAAAGATGGTGGATACTTAAATGGCTAGAGATTGGTGGAGGTGGCGGAGGAGAGAACCAAAGCAGCCTTAGAGGGAGAGAAGGTGGCAGTGAGAGTCCTCAATCACCACAGCTGTAGCAGATGATAGCCAACATTATGATTGTGTTTGCATGGATACTCCCTTTTGTAGGCTCTAAGACCGTTGGAGGCCAACTCACCTATAGATGAGTGGCCAAGTCTCCTTGGTTTGATAGAGTAGGGGTATTAGGCCTATTGTTGGGTCCTATAATTCAGACCTTGGAGGGTGTATTATGGGAGCCACAATTGTAGGTATCATATCTCGGAGGGTGTATCATGGCATGATGTAGGTGGTAGGATATGATACCTCTCCCAAGGTGTCAGGTGTTGGGCCAATGTCCCTCTTTCTAATACTAGTCAAGGAGGAGTTGTCTTCACTTGGGGAGCAAATGAAGCAACCTTGACGAACCCTTTATCTTAGCCTCCAAATTCCAATTCATAAGCCTTTGATGATTACTAGTTGTGGATACCTATACCTTGCTTCTAGCTTAGGATGGCATGGTCATGGTCATGATAAGTGATCCTAACTACGGGGGTTTGCGCACATAAGCTAGTCAAGGTCTAGTTTATGTTGCTATCGAGTGGGAGTGACCGAGTGGAGGCATGCTCGGGCAAGCGATGCTCCTAGTAGCTCCTCGGCATATCCTATGGGAATGAGGAATGAAGGACCATGATCAAATGGAGGCTTGTCCTAGCTAGCGAGCCAAGGTGCTACCGAGTTATGACGTTTCTTAGTAGGCCATGACCAAGTAGGTGAACTTGGCTCTACCATGTAGTGTTGCGAGCTATGCGTTGGGCTTTTCATGCTTTGACTTGTTCATTTGGTGCTTTGGCGTACTGGGGTGGCAGGCGCTCTAGGCCATACTTGGTGGTATATATGCCCCAAATTAGGCTCGACATATAACACCAATTAGTTAGCTCAGGGATACATTATGTTGCTTTAGGAGCAAAGTTTTCAAAGGCTTTGCTGAGGCTCGCCTAGCCTGGAGTCTAAGGTCAAATGCATCAACGCTTTAATTTTTAGGCTATACTTAAGGCTTGCGCATCACAATCTGAGGTGTGCGCTTTGTATGTCTTTTGCGCATAAGCATATGATGAGTATGCATATGAAGAGGTTGCCTTAGACTCTTGTTAAACTTAGTCTAGTAGATAGTTTAAACATCAAAAAGTCAAAAATAAAAAAGAATCCCTTTTGTGACTATATTCTATACAAAAAAACTAAGTTTATGAACAATAAACAAAAAATACGAAAGCTCAATCACTAAGCTAAGAATGTCAATTCCACTTTCAATGAAGGCAAGCTTCATTCTCCGCAGTGAAATGTTTGATGCCTTGAAGAGAAAAGTATTTATACGTTTTATATTTAATTTTTATTTATTTTTCACTATTGAAAAATATTTAATTTATTTATTAAACATTAAAATTTAAAATTCAAAATGCTTACATCTCAATGCCTTAAGACTTACACCTTGCTTCATGAGGGGTAAAACGTCTGGATTTACGCATTCACCTTGCTTGGGAGGACTGCCATGTGGGGATGAGATGATAATGCCTAGGTGGCGATGACGTGGTGCTCGTAGGGCTCACTACTTAGTTTGGTTTGGTTTGTTGACATATTAAGGCAATAGCAACCTAAACAACTTGACAATTGAATGGCCATTATGACTTTCAAATTTACTTGTGCTAAAAAATGGTTTACAACAAATGGTTGTAGGTCTTGCGGATATATATGTTGAGTACATTTTAGTGTGAATCTCGCTTTCCTTGCTTTAGACATGGGACCCAACACATGCCTATGCAAGTTTGGGTCATGACATATGCTCCCCCTTCATCCCACTAGTGTTCTCATCAGGGGTCCAGTAGACACAAGTACTATCCCTTTTCAAAATGACTCCATGCTCCCAAGTCCACAAAATCATCAATGCAAGTTATCTTTGATGTCATAAGTTGCCACAGCGTTTATATATTCAAGATCCTTCCTTTCACACTTACATTGTCAAATTCAATACACATGCCTAACCTTGATAAGAAACCCTATTGTTATGAATAATTAGTAAAAGGAAAGTGAAATCCTAGTTAGGGTTAGTTGTTGCAATGGTATGTCTTAAACACAAGATTAGATTCATGGTGTATCCTAAAGGTTTGAAATCTAATGAATTTAACCAATATGGTTTGACTTGTTGCAGGAGCTCTCAAGTATTCTTTTTTATTAATATGGTTCTTAACTTGTGCTTTGTCTGGAATATTTGATGCCCAAACCTAAGAAGCACGAATGCATACATGACCTTGGACATGTCGTGCAACGATTTTGAAAAAATTAATATACTAACATGACGAGGATATGACAGTATTTTTTAAACATATTTTTATTTGTTATATAAATGTATATAAATTAAGAGCATAGACATATAAGAGGCATCAACGTATATGTGAGTGCTTTTTTATTTTTATTTTTATTTTTTTTTCTCCACTTCCCACTCTTAATTTCCATATATTTTACTTTGATCCCAAATTAGCTTTCTAGAGAATATATATATATATAACGTTGTCCCGAGATGTGTCCAAACACAAGATACACATACATAAAGTGTCTCCTAAGTGTCCTGTAAAAAATAAAAAATAAAAAATAAAAAATAAAAAATTTATGTGTTACGTGGAGTGTTCGACATGTGGACATGCATGTTTGCGCTTCATGACATGTTTGGTGCTTACCACATCTCGTTAGGAGAGCCCGCGAAACTCAATACTCCTTTGAATACAAATACAAGCAAGCAATCAAAGCAAATACAAGGCAAATGTGTTACATTTGGAGTTATAATCTAGAAACAAAAGGATAACATTTCAATAACGAAAGATTGAAATTACAATGCTTTTACTATGCACAAATGTGCTAAAAAATAGGCCTAATACAACTCTAAGTTGGGGTACATTAAAGGCACAAGTGGTCTGTTTTAACACTTGGGTACCCCTCTTTGTAATAGCATTCTAGGCCATTAAGAAAGTGCTAGGAGGAAACATTCACTATGCTTGAGGAGTTACAAATAATTATGAAGAAAGGGAATGGGTCACATGCTCAAAATACATATTTATACTAGTCTAAGCACCCTCAGGTATGGGCGTCGAGTGTGGGTATGTATTTAGATGTCGGACTCATCAAATCATAATTTTAAGGATGCGATGACTTGACAAAAAAATGTTATTTTTTTAATCAAGTATATGAGGTAAAAATTGGTGCTATATGTAACTTTAGTGTCAAAAAGACATTTATAGTAATTATACAACAATATGTACATATAATATTAGTGTTACGTTGTATACGATTATATAAGAAGTATCTGTTAAAAAGTATCTGACGCATATCCCATACCCTTGTCTGAGTGTCGGGTGTCCAACCCATGATTTATTTTGAAGAGTTCGTGTAACATAGCTTGGTTGTGTGGCAAAAAGTGGCTTGATTCTTCCGTATGTGTGCTAGAGGCAGTGCTATGCTTGTTGGCTGAACAAGGCTGCAACTGGGTGTGCGTGCAAGGTAGATGTGGGTTGGACGTGGGCGCAGTCTTGTGGCTTGGCAGTGTGGGCGCTTCTTGGGCAATGTCTGGCCCTTGTCTGGGGCATCTCTTGGGCAATCCTTGGCTCTTTGCTTGGGCACCCCTTAGCACTTGACAAGCGCATTGAGGTGCTTGTGCGGGACATCATGGGCGCTTTGGAGTTGCTTGTGACATAGCGGCATGTCTGTGTCCAATATGTGTCGTACACAACAACCATTTTGGAGTGTCCATGCTTATTAGAATAATATCTTTGTGATTGTGATTCTGCTTAGCTGTCATTAGTGTAGTTTCCTTTCGTGCCTTGAGGCTTCTATTGTATGTTTCATATTATTAATATATAAGGGAGTGATGGTCTCATCATTCGCTAAGTTTGATTTCTCCTAAAATAAACATGGTATCAGAGCCACGTTTATCATCCACCCTTACCCAACCACCATAGTACCACCATGCCACACCGCTAAACCACCACACACCACCAAGCCACCCAGACTCACATCCAATAGCCACCAAGACCAGCCGACAGCCACCCAGGCCCAACCGACACCACCAGAGCCTATTTTTGCTCTTCTGTAGCCTCGTCTAGGGCTCACAACTTGGACAGGACAATTTCGGCACCTCCCTTGATGCATGATTAGGGTTTTCATAGCCTTTTTTTGTTCCAATCTATGTTTTGATTGACCCAT